GCGGAAATGTGTCCGGGGCGGAGCTCGGCCGAAAAAAGCCTGCTCCCAATCCCTGGTCTTAAGCTCTTAAGGCTTAGTGCATCTTTCCATCTTGTATAATAGATGAGATCGTTTGGGTCATGGCCTTATTATCGTCGCTCAACGTCCAGGTATCAGATGACCGTTGACAAAAAGAATTATTAAGGTACATCAGTGTCGTATATCTAATGGATTCACTACCTATTGGAGTAGATATCACCATGGGCGCACCTATTGAAAAAAAAGAGGTGGGGGGGGGGGGGGGGGGGGAGTAAAAGACACTTTTGTTTAGGTTTTAAATTAAAAAAAAAATTATACATCAGTTTCCCCCCGCGCAGATTTTAGTTAAGATCAGACACTAGATATCAAGGAGGTCTGAAAAGCTTCACACTGTATGTTCTGTTGTTCAGGGTACGGTCATATTTCTCACCTGTATCTACTTTCCTGGATAGGTTTTTGTCCAATAGTTTTGGAACAGCTCAGTGAGGGGCCTATTTTTCACGTCATGAGGGATTACTGACCTAGTTTTTAAGTAAACCATGTTAATACCTCTCAGAACAGGCTTAGTCGGAATATCAAACAGGCCAGGACAACGTTGTCAAACAGGGACGATCCCGGTCTCACCGGGACGATCCCGGTCTCACCGGGACGTATGGCAAGCCTGGCTGTATCGCACACGCCGTATCACATCCGGAATAAAGATAGTCGACTTCACGCCAATAAGTTTACACATGGCATATGCCGAATGCCAGTTTACACGTGGCATATGCTGATTGTCATTTTACACACGGCATATGCTGAATGTCCGTTTACAAGTGGCATATGCTGAATGCCAGTTTACACGTGGCATATGCTGACTGTCATTTTACACACGGCATATGCTGAATGTCACTTTACACATGATATATGCTGAATGTCAGTTTACACATAACGTATGCTGAATATCAGTCTACACATGACATATACGAGATTCTTGTCCCTGGATGACTTTAGAACCATTGAATAATCTCCCAGTGTTACCCGAGTCTAGTCAAAAAAACTAATTAGTAACATTTTTTTTACATAAGTAACAACAGACACAAGGATTATACAGGATTATCGGCTCAGTGAATGTTTTATCCCGGGCATTAATGACAGTGTTGTATTTGTTTTTTTTTAAAATGCTTAATCCCATGAATACTAGTATCTATTAGTTTACATTTCCACAAGACGGAGTCAAATAAAGTTGTTAACAACAGGCATCGTTAATTTGCTGACACAACAATAAATAGGGATTAACGGATGTCTGTGTAACGTTTTCCTCTTAATCTTAAAAACATCTTTAAGGAAAGGAAAAACTATATCTCTATCCCCCACTTAATGTGCTTTGCTTCAATATAATATGTATGTTTTTTTTAATTTTTTATTTGCAATAAATGATTGAGAAATTATTGTTTACATAATTTTATAATCAATATAACAGAGTATCATCAGTGAATGTACCGGCGTTAGTTTCGTCTTGCCACCTAAATAATCACAGCTGTCTAACGATCTCTCTGGATGACCTAGCGTTCATACTGTGATTGACATTTTATATTTGGACACCATGGTCAAGAATGCCCGTCTGAATCCCAGTACGCTCAGCCAAATGCTATTTGCAGATGACCAATTCATCCCGAACGAGAACACGGGGGGAAAAAATGTCCGCACAGTACCTGTCAATTTAATGGAATGGAAATCGGGAAAGATAAAAATTGAAGTCATGTCAGTAGTCCGATGTCATGTCAGTAGGCCGATGTCATGTCAGTAGGCCGGTGTCATGTCAGTAAGCCGATGTCATGTCAGTAGGCCGATGTCATGTCAATAGGCTTTACCCTAGAAAAAACTGCACATAGCAATCTATCAGTCGTGCGCTCCTCCATCAACTCAAGGAGTGTACATATGTTAGCTATTTCGCCAAGGATGAAGCATTGGATAGAGTTGGATAGAGAGTCAAGCGGGCCGAATTAAGCGTGCCGAGTCAAGCGGGCCGAGTCAAGCGTGCCGAGTCAAGCGTGCCGAGTCAAGCGGGCCGAGTCAAGCATGCCGAGTCAAGCGGGCCGAGTCAAGCGTGCCAAAACTACTAAGACACCCAAGAATATAGATGAGACCAAAACCAGGCGGATTAAAACGGTGTCTTTATTTCAACATTTGCTTACTGGTGTAAAACCTGGGCTCTGAATCAAAGTCTCGAGAGAAACAACTCAACCTGCGAGATCAGATGTTTGAGGTCACAAGCTGGTCAAACGTGAAGGGGTCACATTAGAATCAAGGAAATTAAAGAAAAGGTTGGTTCCATACAAATCAGCCATATCTGGCCTAACAGAGAATTGATTGGTTTTTCCACCTGGTCAGAATGCTTGTCAACAAACCTGCATAGTAAGTCTAAACTAGCTCAATGGCAGACACTCCGGTTCCATGACAAGTGAAGGACCACGCCATTGGTCAATCAGCTGTGTTAATGAAACAGCATGGACCTACAGCAGGGCTCACTGCATGGACCTACAGCAGGGCTCACTACATGGATCTACAGCAGGGCTCAAAGCAGGGACCTGCAGCAGGGCTCACTACATGGATCTACAGCAGGGCTCAAAGCAGGGACCTACAGCAGGGCTCACTGCATGGACCTACAGCAGGGCTCACAGCATGGACCTACAGCAGGGCTCACAGCATGGACCTACAGCAGGGCTCACAGCATGGACCTACAGCAGGGCTCACAGCATGGACCTACAGCTACAGCAGGGCTCACTGCATGGGACAACAGCAGGGCTCACCACATGGGTCAACAGCAGGGCTCAAAGCAGGGACCTGCAGCAGGGCTCACTACATGGATCTACAGCAGGGCTCAAAGCAGGGACCTACAGCAGGGCTCACTGCATGGACCTACAGCAGGGCTCACTGCATGGACCTACAGCAGGGCTCACAGCATGGACCTACAGCAGGGCTCACTACATGGATCTACAGCAGGGCTCAAAGCATGGACCTACAGCATGGTTCACAGCATGGACCTACAGCAGGGCTCACTGCATGGACCTACAGCAGGGCTGACTGCATGGACCTACAGCAGGGCTCACGACATGGATCTACAGCAGGGCTCAAAGCATGGACCTACAGCAGGGCTCACAGCATGGACCTACAGCAGGGCTCACAGCATGGACCTACAGCAGGGATCACAGTATGAACCTACAGCAGGGCTCACAGCATGGAACTACAGCAGGGCTCACAGCATGAACCTACAGTAGGTCTCACACCTTGTGGCTGATCACTTAATGCAACAACCAGCGACTCCTCCTTGGTAAAAGCGGACAGAAAAAGAAGAAGGGTTTTGAAAGAAAAAAATAAGATAATTAAAACAAGCTTCTCTCTCCGTCTTTTTCTCTTTCTCTTTTTCTCTATCTCAGTCTCTCTCTCTCTCTCTCTCTCTCTCGCTCGCTCTCTGTCTCTCTCTATCGGTCTATATACATCTCTCTCTATCCGCCCGTCTCTCTCTGTCTCCATACTTCTATCTTTCTCGCTTTTTCCGCCCCCCCACCCAGCCATTTTATCTCGCTTTTTCCTCCCCAAAAAATAAAACTCAAGCCAATGGAAGGGGAATTGTTAATTTTATTATAAAAGTGCAGTAAAAAAGTATTTCAAAGATGACAAATATAGAGACGGTTTAAAAAAATGGAGCACCCACATTTTGTGTATAAAAAAAACAACAGCACAAACTTTGTCACCCCCCCCCCTATATTTATTTATTGTTGCAGGCCGCTTATGCGTACGCACAGTAAGACACAAGACACACTGCTGGTCCTCCACTGCATCCCGGTCTATTTCCAGTCGTGGTGACGAAGTCTTGTCATTGGATCATGTAGGCAAGGACGAGAGAGTGAGGCTGACGAACTGAGCAACTCTCCATCAGTTTAAACAAAATGCAGCTCAGGTCGAATCCTAGGTCATCTTCGAGTGCGAAGAACGAACGATTAACAACGTATAAGCACCACCACCATTCACCACTATTCCCATAATTCATTCATCCCTCTATTTAATCCATCAGTGCATACGTATTATGTGGATAACTCCTGAACACACAAACAAGAATTAGGAAGATATACACAATATTAACATTTATATATAAAATAATTGTTTTAAAAATATGCATAAATGTTTATCTATTTACCAAAGACGAAATTCAACGCATTTAAAAGTGGAAAATAATATAAAATTTCGTAAAGTTTATTACGCAATAAAAGACCCCGCAGAAGAGTAGATGAACCCTCGATGTAGCCACACGATGTAGCCACACGATGTAGCCACACGATGTAGCCACACGATGTAGCCACACGATGTAGCCACACGATGTAGCCACACGATGTAGCCACACGATGTAGCCACACGATGTAGCCACACGTTTCGTGTGGAACTTCAATATTATTATGTTTTATTTATGTTTAAAGTATATTATCTGCACCTACTTGTTTTGGTGAATGCATTTTACGACATTTTAAATTATCTTCTATTTTTTTAGTGCGTTTAATTTCATCTTTTGTAGAAAGTCTTTTATTTACAAAAGTTATGTATGTATTTTTTTTATTTTTGAGCATGAAAAATGAATTTTCTCAATTATCAACAAACGTAGAATTATTACCGTACTCCCTTCCCTAATCCCTTCCAAGTCATCTACTAAAAAAAAAAAATATAAAAAAATAATTAATAAATAAAAAACTACCGAACGCTGTTCACTGAACAAAGCAGACGCGATGAATCACTATCAGCCGAGCAAAATAGTCACGCGTGTAAACACAAAAAATGCGATTGACAAACCCCATGGAAATGCAAGCAGAAAGAAAATCTGTAATAATTTTTTTTTTAAAATTATAAACTCCCACTGAGTTTTTTTCAACTATAGCAACTAAATAAATTTGTAACTAATTTTTAACAACCTTAAAATATACAATTTATAGAATGTTTCAGACACTTTTGGACACATGGGTTTCAAAATGTTGATGACAACTAGTGTGTCATAAACGAGCGTGTTAGTTGCGAACTATAATTTTATAGAGTCTGATACTAATTCATTTATATATGTCTCTGCCTAATGCACGCCCCATGAGTGTGGATGGATTTGAAATACTAACCAATCAAATGACTGGAAACAGGGTGTATGAAGTAGTTATACTAATCCACCCCACCCCTACACTTCCTTGCTGTTTCTCCTCCTTTGTTTAGGTCCCTTTACTCACAAAACCAATATTCAATGTATTTAGAATCACTTTCTGATAAAACGGTTCATTCCGATTTGTTTCTTTAGTAAATAGATTCAAGTTTTTCGTCGTCTCACTCATTCAATTTAGTTGAAATATATTTTTCATCTTGCATGCATGAATTCCTTTGATGTTGAATGAATAAATTCATCTGAAGGTTGAACAAATCATCACACATATAAAATGTGATAAGCTTCAGTGATAAACTCTAAACTGCAATGCACAAAGATACATTAACTTAAACATGAGCACATGTTGTAAGCTAGTCACTCCTTATTTTGACAATATGATCTCTGTCTATATCATACATGCCAACCTGTAGGATCAAATACTCCGTTTAAGAAATCCTAAGAAGTTTTGAGGAAAATAAAAAGAAAAGTCCATGAAACTAATTAAAGTATCATTTTTATATTTGTTTTGAATGCATGAATTTTTTTTAAAAAAATGAATTATCATCCATTTGCTCCAAGTATATTTTTAGAATGTTTACACCATTAATAAATGGGTCACACCTTTTAAATGGAATTAGATTGTCCGATGTCAAATTTTGTGGCTTTTTTCCCCACTGGTCAATAGCAATTTATAAACGAATGGATGTTAAATACAACAAATTTGACCAATTTAAATATTTTAATTAAAATAAAGATGTACAATTTGGATAAAGGACGAGCAGAGAAAGTTACAGATTTCATCTTTAAAGTTCAGTATGTTGATGCGTCAGTTCCTGGAATGCCCAAGATGGCAGATCTTTCTCCCACAACTGTCGCACCTCTCTTTTCAAGTTTTTCTGTATGGAAGGTCTGGGGTTAAAGTCCAAATAATAACCGTTATGGAGGTCATAGTTCGGCCATCCGCCGGGAATTTCTTTCCGAAGAGATACTTGTGGATTGCTGAGAATATCAAAATCAACAAAGACATATGAACTATTTTATAGCATCTTTATGGTTCTGTCACTGTTTTAAGTCAAATGAATGTATGAACAAATTTCAATTACTGAAACCCCATAATTTATTTTGATGTCTTCATGTAATTGATTATCTCAATTGCCAGTTGGTAGTCATAGTGACTTGATTATTTTTTTTTAAAAAATACGGGGAATTAATACCCATAAAAAATAAACAATGAAATATTTACCTTTTGATTTTGAAAAAGAGTTGGAATAGAAGATATTTATTAAATAGCATTACATTTACTAAACACAACTATCAGCACCATATTGATATCACGGAAGGACTTAAGACTGAGAATTTAATCAATTCCAACAATCAAATAGTATCCCGTCAAAATACAAGACTCCTTTCCCAAGTATTAAAAAAATGGTCCATCTCATCCATTAGTAAACAGGCATGCATCTAAATTGAAGCATTGGTGTGCTGATATCTGACAAAACAAGCTATCTATTCATCTAATTGCAATATTTACATTTAAAAATGTTATAAAATTTGTTGTTGTTTTTTCTTTTAGGAGAGGCAATAAATCAGAGGGTCCATCAACCATAGCTTAAGAATCCATCGTTTTAAGCATAAATCAATTTTTTTTAAAAACTTGATATTCTTTATGGAACGTTTTTTGTTGATATTTTTGGAGGATGAGTAACTAACTGGCTCAATTTGGTGTGCTCAAGGTATGCTCAAGGTGTGCTCAAGGTGTGCTCAATGTGTGCTCTATGTGTAGATGCTGTACAATGAAAAACAATAAAAAATCACCAATAAACTATTGGCATTGAAGATACTTACCCAGTTTTTATAAATGACGCTATAGTATCAGAGAAAATCCTTCTCAATTTAAAATCTTCCTCCTCAAATACACCAGTGGCTCCTGGGGCCATGAGGTGCAGCAAGTAAGTTGTATCTAAATCAAACCAGTAGGCCAGGTCCAAGGCGTGAATGAGACCTTTCAGGTCCCCCTTCATAAACTGGGGATAGTGGTTGAAATAGAGGAGCCATGACTCAGCGTCTCTGCTTCGCGCTACAGTGTTAATCAAGTCAAAGGTAGGAATAATGAAATTGGCGTCAGTAACAAGCTGTAGAACATCATAAGGCGTAGGATTTCTGGCTTGGTACCAATCTCGAAGTTTCTTAACCAGTGTAGACGGTGTTTTATCAAGTTGCAGTCTATCAGCAATCACTTCTGCTGCAAGGGATGACAGATACTGCAGCCACCTGTTAAACTTCTCATCCTCCGACAGTCTTGTATCATTATAAATTATTGCTTTAGGGATAAACAAAAATGCCCCATGTATTGTGGTTTCTTGATTAGTGAGACCAAAGAGGTATTTCTTCTGGTAAAAGCCAATTTGTTCCAAGTATTGTTCATCTTTGATGAGTTCAAATGGAGATTTGGGTAGAAACTCACCATCTCCACATGGATGAAACACTGTTCTGGAATGACCATGTAGTCTGAAATTATCGAAGGCTGAAAGAGGGCGTGAACGAAGGCATTGGATAACTTCTTTTCCCATCCTGGTCTCATCTTTATCCAAACAGTTTACAAATATTGCTATAGCGCGCGCAGCCTCTTTGTTTAAGTTATTTACCGCGAACAATGATGTGGCTACTCCACTGCTAGAATAAGCTTTGGTGAACAGATCTTTTGTGACAGGACTCAGGGTAAGAAAAGATACAGACGACCCCCCTGCTGACTCTCCTGCTATGGTTATGTCACTTGGGTCACCACCAAATGCGGCAACATTGTTTTTGACCCACTTGAGAGCGAGTGCTTGGTCCCACAGGCCGTAGTTGCCAGGAGCATTCTCGTCTTCGGAAGTCAGGAATCCCATCAGGCCTAGGCGATACTGGATGGTTACAAACACGACGTCCTGTTCTGTGACAAAACTTCCAGGGTTGTACATTAAAGTTGAACCGAAGAAAAAACCACCGCCGTGAATGAAAATGACTACTTTCTTTTGGACTGGCGATTTCTGATTGATCTCTTTGGCAAATATGTTCAGAAATAAGCAGTCCTCAGACATGATTTCATTCGGTAATAGAAACTGTGGGTCTTGGGTGCAAGCAGCTCCCTGCTGTGTTCCATCAATGACTTCTGTAGATAACACACGAATGGAATAAAAAGGCAAAAGATTAATAAATTCTTTAAGAAAATTTAGTTATTTCTAGGTAAAAAACTTTATTTATACGGTCCCCAACGTAAATTAAATTATGAAAGTTGTCGAGCATGGGAGTTTGCTAAAAATTGTTGCTCGCTGGACAGTGCGTTTTATTGTGCGAGGTTTGTATGAAGAGTTAATGAACGCTTTTCCCGCCATTTACTTGATGACGTAATTTTATGGTAATTATGACTATTTTCTAAACTATCTTTGGGGTACAGATTATTTGTTTGCAGTCGTCGAAATAACTTTGTAGCGGATAGTTGTGTGTATTTTATCCATTATAGCAAGCTAAGCTACAATGTGTTTAATTAACTGCACAGCTTTTTAAAGATATTTATATTTTAAAGTTTAATAAGTAATGGAAAAGGACTTGTGTTGATTTCGGTGTTATTCGGGCAAATGAAAAACGTGTAAACGAATCTGATGAATTAAAGAATTTAACAAAATCGGAGTTTGACAAAGTTCTCCAAATTTTTATGACAGTATAAGCATGCATGTTATGTATGTTAGGCTGTGTGTACCGATCAGCAAGAAGCCATTATAGGAGCTGCTCATTCCTGCCCAAGACAATCAGGGACTGGAACAATCTTTCAAAAGGAACGGTTGATTCGACAACACTAGACACATTTGTGTCTATTGCCTCAAGCCTCCAGCCTTCAAACCCCTAGTGCATGATTTCCTCATCAACACCAGTAACAGAAACATTGCAAATCCCATCTACATGCATAGGAGCCAAAATGATCAATAAATTGATCGTGGGCCCTTAAGATATTATAGAAGAAGAAGAAGCCAAATTAGTCGTTTAACTTATCTGCAGCACTAAATTGTTTTAAAATAGGTATAAGCTATTAGGGGGTGCTGACTTTTTTCTATGAAATATAATTGTGAACGAACTTCAAATGTATTTTAAGACTATTATCACTACCCCTGAAAATTGACAACTGTTTTATAAACTGAAAAGCTAAGAATTCAGGCATTTCAAAAATTTCTCTGTGCTTAAAAAAAAAAATTGTTATGAAATTTTTTAAGGGACGCAATGTCAAAGTCTAAAAAAAATAACGTAGATTGTCTCTCTTGCTCACACTGTTTTTCAAAGCACATTTCATAGGGGATATAACTGCATATTCTGAAAATGCAAAATTGTTTGAAATATTACATATAGCCTATGTCGAGGCCAAATTTTTTCAGTTCAACATAGAGCTATTTTTAGCAACCACCACTAGTCTGCATTAGTATTGCTTTGATATTGACGTCATGTGACGTTTCATACCATACCCACCCCTCCCTTGGTTTGGAAAAGGTTGTTTACATTCGATTTACATTCGAATGGTTCTATTTATTCCAAAGAATTCCATTTTGTGACGCTATTGCTCGAAATTATGAACTAGAACGTTCTGATTTGGTTCCTATAAATAGTTTGCCGTCTTCCTTGACATATAGAGCGAAATAAATAGACAGAGATACAAAGAGAGAGAAAAGAGAGAGAGAGAGAGGGAGAGATTTTAGTTACACGAGACCTTATATAATTGTTTGTGTGTAAATTAATTTTTGTATTTTTGGGGAGTGTACCTTTTCCCTTTGCTGTAAGTTGACAAAAGCTTCTGGCGTCTGTAGTGGAATTTGTATTTGAGAGACATGTATTTGTAAAATTAAATTAAATATCGTTAGCATCCCTTGCTTTGGTATCGTTTTCTTTGCATACGGTTCTCGCAGTCCTTTGTTACGTATTGTTTCTTCTAAAAGCTAAATCTTTACACAGATTACATTTTCTGATCCGAAACTGTACATAACACAAATATTTGCTCTTTCACAACTATTTATATCACAGTAATATATAGGACATAACAGATATCGAATAACTCAATATTCATTGATGGCCTTACCTTGATTGGGGTAAGGCACTGGTTTAGCAAAGCGTAGATCACCCAAGGGAGGAACAGCGTATGGTATGCCACGAAATGACCAATAGGGCTCGCCATTAGCAGCGGCCACCTTCAGTCCTCTCAACTTCCCGACAGGTGTCACCACCTCTCCTGTCTCTAGGGCATGAGCAGCGACTTGAAGAGCAACAAGACACAGGAGCAATAACGAGGTCGTCATATCGGTTAGAGCGTGCTGACGCTGAAAATGTGACACACGTGGGTCAGGAACCTCCTGTAGATAATTAACTGAAATTAAAGTATGAGGGTAAAATCTAAAGAAACCCAAAGAAAATAGTAGGTTTGCAGATAATCACAAATGTCGGCACTATTTGTTCTGTCTCTAAACAAGTGGACACAAACTTTGTTCCGTAACAGCTAACAGCAAGACTTTGTAATTGTTATTTTTAGGAGGGAAAAAAAAGAAAACTTTTACAAAGTTAATTTGCTTATTAAGAAACAATAAATCTGTTTGAGTAATAACATTTGACTACTAGTCATAAAAAGCTCAAGGCCGTTGTTAGGGTAAACAACGAAGATCGGATGCGATCGGTTGCAATGCAACAACAATGTCAGACGAACTTTTCTACCGAACAACCAGTCTCCAACGTCAGTCTTGGATGCCGGTGAAATGTGGTAGCAGTTGAGCCGAAGCCTAACACCTGTGCACTGCCCCCGGTGTACGGAAAATAGGTCGTCATGGATGACAGGTTTCAAAATTAATTCAAATTTCTTTTTACGTATTAAAAAAATCAAAAAAGGTGGTTGAGGGGGGGGGGTATTCGAGGATGGGTTGGGTGGTGGTTTGGGTCAGAGAGGGTGACATGTTTCGATTTATGGACGGTGTCCAACAACCCAGTTGTCATGTGTTTAGGTCCAAACATATTTGACGTACACTCCAAAGGAGCTGTTAAATTAGTGGAGTGTGTATGGGGGAAAATGGGGGGGGGGAGGGGAGGGGAGGTGATTCGGTAGAACGTGTACTTACATTGTTTAACTAATTCACTATTAGTTATTCTAGAATTTTTAAGTCCATAAATAACCTTTTTATATCGCTGTGACCTTAAAATAGGTGACATCTCTAAAGGGAGGGGGGTTCCGAAAATTTGTACATTGAGCAGTTGGGGGGGGGGGGGGGGGGGCCGCAGGATAATAAGACATCTTTTTGCGTACGTGATATATTGCTGGCGGCCTTTTGGGGGGGGGGGTAGGGGAGCCGCATGATAATAAGACATCTTTTTGCGTACGTGATATATTTCTGGCGGCCTTTCAGTTGTGACAATACACTGTTTTAACTTATTCAAGTGATGTGGGTCTTATTTAAGCGGGCATTGTTGCCAGAGGCTAGTCTTTGTTACTTCAAAGATTTTAAAATGCTAAACAATTGTTGCCCAAAACTCATTCTTGAAAGCTGTAGTTGCTAGCTAAGAACGACGCAGTCACGCTAACAACACTGTAGAGCAGCAGAGGTTCTTAACTTATTTTTGCAGCGTAGCACCCTCTCTTGATTTCAAAACATATTTCCCCACACCCCTAGCAACGCCACTCCCAGCACCCCTAGCTACGCCACTGCACGCCCCCTAGCTACGCCACTACCCACCCCTTACGCCACTCCCAGCACCTCTAGCTACGCCACTCCCCGCACCCCTAGCTACGCCACTACCCACACCTCTAGCTACGGCACTCCCAGCCCGCCTAGCTACGCCACTCCCAGCACGCCTAGCTACGCCACTCTTAGCATGCCTAGCTACTCCACTTCCAGCCTCCTTCCCCCCCTCTCCCCCCGCGGTAAAAGATGCTTTAAAATAAAAGAAACCTGACTATAAAGGACTTCCCGCAGTCCCTGGCACTGTCTACAAGGCATCCCAAGCGGATGCAGGCAGCCCTGGTTAAGACCCCCTGCTGTAGAGACACGCTTTTTAAGTGCGAGTAAATTTTGGATCTTTTAAACGGCATTGGGCTGAAAACAGCCATCGATTGAATAGTCAAATCAGAAAAGGTAATGGTTCGTTTATTGTTTATACTGGGCTTATCTCAGGTGTTTGGGTGGGGGTGGGTGGGTGGGGGAGGGTTGACTTAGCCCTGAGGTCAGCAACATTCTTTTGAATGAGCAGCAAGTTTTTTAAAACATATCTGCTAAAAGGTATTTTGGGACCCGTACGTGGGGTATTGATGTATACATTTCATGAAATATACATAAGTTTAAATAATAATAATAATAATAAAGAGCTGCATCTATACCGACTCCGGAGCCGCATTTCAAAACTTACATTTCAAGTATAATAATTTTATTCCTTTAAAGCCCACTTGAGATCAAGCCAGGTGCGAAAAGGTCAAAAGTTAAACATTTCAAACAGAAGTCAAGTCCAGGCTGCTAACTTACTCAGAAATGCACTTTAAATCCAGCAGAGGTAAAGAGGAGTGCATTTTTTATTTCTTATGTTATCTTACTACACGATACCAGAAAAAAGAATCTAGTGATGAAAAGCAAAAACCGGGAATGCAAAAATCGGAATGATATTATCAGGTCTTCACATTTTAAATGAAAAAAAATCAAAATTAACGGTACTTTAATTTAAAAATGTAATTTCAGGTCTATTGATAAAGTTAATATAAAGAAAACTTTTAGCCTACTTACGATATGAACGTAAAATGTAACACAACTGATAGTCCCCCTTTAAGTCTGCCACTGGGGTACACGCCGTGGAGAATGTCTTGATGTCTATGAGAAGATAATTCATCAATAACACTGAAGTCATGGACCGTCCCTCGGGCGCAGACGTCGCTTGTGTCTGATGGAACTGGGGCGGGTATGGGTGACGCAGAATGCTCTAGGTTTTTTTTTTTTCTCCCAAGGGCGCTCACGTGACTTGGCTCTGCGGTTTGCTAGTTTCTTTGTGGCGCGTGGACGGGTAAAGGGGAGGTTGGGAGGTGGGGTGGTGGATAAGGTGTCCTTCAAATATTAGGCGCTACGAACTCATTTTTTCGTGGTTCGTGTTTATTATTTTATTATTTGCAATCTTCTTCTTTCTTCTCTCTCTCTCTCTCTCTCTCTCTCTCTCTCTCTCTCTCTCTCTCTCTCTCTCTCTCTCTCTCTCTCTCTCTCTCTCTCTCTCTCTCTCTCTCTCTCTCTCTCTCCCTCTCTCTTTTTTTTTTTTTTATTTGCTCTCTTTTTCTTTTTTCTCTCTCTCTCTCTCTCTCTCTCTCTCTCTCTCTCTCTCTCTCTCTCTCTATCTCTGTCTCTGTCTCTGTCTGTCTCTCTCTCTCTCTCTCTCTCTCTGTCTCCCATTCACTCTCTTCCCACTCAGGTAAGTGGCGGGGTGTAGATAAGCTGTCATCTATATAAGATGCACTTTTCGTTCAAGGTTGTTAGGAATACATATTTTGAACATATATGAGTATAGCAATCTCCTCTCTCTCTCTCACACACACACGCTCTCTCTCTAACTCTTCACACACACTCTCTCTCTCTCTTTTCATATATATATATACCTTTCTTTCCCCGTTTTTTTATCTCTTGCCATTTCATATTATTATTATTAGGTGATTCAATATAGCCCAGTACCCCAGCCTAGGGCAAGGCTCACTGCCCAGTACCCCAGCCTAGGGCAAGGCTCACTGCCCAGTACCCCAGCCTAGGGCCAGGCTCACTGCCCAGTACCCCAGCCTAGGGCCAGGCTCACTGCCCAGTACCCCAGCCTAGGGCCAGGCTCACTGCCCAGTACCCCAGCCTAGGGCCAGGCTCACTGCCCAGTACCCCAGCCTAGGGCAAGGCTCACTGCCCAGTACCCAAGCCTAGGGCCAGGCTCACTGCCCAGTACCCCAGCCTAGGGCAAGGCTCACTGCTCAGTACCCCAGCCTAGGGCAAGGCTCACTGCCCAGTACCCCAGCCTAGGGCCAGGCTCACTGCGCTTCACATAAAAAGTAGCAATTCTATAATCGTGCACATTTAAAAACAATTGGTAAAAAGCTTGACCTCACCAACCCAAGTACTATCTACCCCTGTCTAGCCATGGACCTCACCCACCAAAGTACTATCTACCCTGTCTAGCCATGGACCTCACCAACACAAGTACTATCTACCCCTGTCTAGCCATGGACCTCACCAACCCAAGTACTATCTACCCCTGTCTAGCCATGGACCTCACCAACCCAAGTACTATCTACTCCTGTCTAGCCATGGACCTCACCAACCCAAGTACTATCTACCCCTGTCTAGCCATGGACCTCACCCACCCAAGTACTACCTACCCCTGTCTAGCCATGGACCTCACCAACCCAAGTACTATCTACCCCTGTCTAGCCATGGACCTCACCAACCCAAGTACTATCTACCCCTGTCTAGCCATGGATAGCACCCAACAGCACCGAGCGTTGTTTATCAGTTAGAGGTGGTGAGAATGAGGTGGTAGGTGTTAGGTGGTAGGTGTTAGGTGGTAGGTGTTAGGTGGTAGGTGGTAGGTGGTAGGTGGTAGGTGATAGGTGTTAGGTGTTAGGTGGTAGGTGGTAGGTGTTAGGTGGTAGGTGTTAGGTGGTAGGTGTTAGGTGGTAGGTGTTAGGTGGTAGATTTTAGGTTGCTATGTGTTAGTTGTTAGGCTTGTTATCAAGAAATTAACAAATATTTCTGTTAAATCCTTTTTTTAAAAAAAAAACAATAATTTTAATGAAAACTTTATGAAGCAAACATTGAAGACATTGCTCATTAGGAAACAACTTTTCCTTCAAATCAAAATAATGACTGACAAACTCAAATTTCTCCCGCATGTCTACGCCCGTCAGAAGTCGTGGGGTGTTGCTGGCCCGGGGATCCGTGGATACGCCACCGTATTAACATCAATGAGCCGCTGACACGGACAGAAGACCTTTCAGTTTGGCGTCTGTTGATAACTTGCGGGAATGTTCACCAAACTATGGAGTAGATTACCAATATCATACCCACACTCACGCACACGCTCACAGTCTCACACTCACACATACGCTCACACACACAAATTAACACACAAAATCAAACACGCACACACACACACACTTAACACTCACATACATAAACATGAAGAAGTCGATACAGAAGGAGATGAGACGTCTGACAAGAGCTCTCTCTCTCTCTCTCTCTCTCTAAAAAGAGGCGATGCCAAGACAAGTGGGTCAAGTGGTAATGTGCCCCCTTGACCCCATTGAACGGCAAGTTCAGCAACGTGACCGGGCATAACATATAACATAGCTCAGTTTAATGTATGCGTGACATAATATGGTCTAAAGCAGGGGTCCTCGTACTATGGCCCGTGAACCAGAGATAGGATGCAGGCCACACACGGTCCGCATGGGGTCCTTTAACCCGGGGAACCCGATTGGTCGCAACACAGGTACCAAGGTAGTTGTGACCGAACGGGAACCGGGCGTTGACCAATTCATTAGCCAGAAGAAGACCCACACTTCCCATTCAAATACTAGTACATTTCTTTTAGTTAAAATCGTTCTTCATTTTAAATATTCCATTGTATTGCCCCTGTTTTCTTTCACAACATATATGACATGTTCAGAAGTATGACATGTTCAGAAATATGAAATGTTCAGAAATATGACATGTTCAGAACTATGACATGTTCAGAAATATGACATGTTCAGAAATATGACATGTTCAGTGCGCATAGGTGAACGTTCTTATGATTTCACATTATAATCCTGCCCCCCCCCCTTTTTTTACCTTGTCTGAGAAATAGTACACCGTCGTTTAATGGATAGTCCGTGGATGGCCAATGCTAATGTCACAGCGTGATACTGGATCTGAGACGTAGCATGGTGGCAGGCATTTTTTGATGGAGGTAATAAATTGGCATTTTTGTATGTTAAAAAAATGAATAAATAAATAAATAGCATTTGATGACATTAGATCATAATCGCAGTTAACATAAACAGATGTGCAACAATTTCAGATCTAGCACGGTCAAAAACAGATGTGCAACAATTTCAGATCTAGCACAGTCATAAACAGATGTGCAACAATGTCAGATCTAGCACAGTCATAAACAGATGTGTAACAATTTCAGATCTAGCACAGTCATAAACATATGTGCAACAATTTCAGATCTAGCACAGTCATAAACAGATTTGCAACAATTTCAGATCTAGCACAGTCATAAACAGATGTGCAACAATTTCAAATCTAGCAAAGTCATAATCAGATGAGCAACAATTTCAGATCTAGTACAGTCATAAACAGATTTGCAACAATTTAAGATCTAGCACAGTCATAAACAGACGTGCAACAATTTCCGATCAAGCACAGTCATAAACAGATGTGCAATAGTTTCCCGGTCTAGTACAGTCATAAACAGACGTGCAATAGTTTCCCGGTCTAGCACAGTCATGAACAGATGTGCAACAGTTTCCCCGTCTAGTGCAATCATAAAAAGATGTGCAACAGTTTCCCCAGTCTAGGACAGTCATAAACAAATGTGCAACAGTTTCCCCGTCTATTACAGTCATAAACAGATGTACAACAATTTCAGATCTAGTACAGTCATAGAGATGTATACATGAGGATAAGAGAACAAAACCTCAAATCTCCTAACAAAACTCGAGCGAAGACGATTCCAAAACAAACAAAAAAAACGTGTTGCGCATCTATTTTGCAATCGAATAAACCAAGAAAAAAAAGTGGGTGTGCGTTTGTATAATTTTTAAATTTTTTTTTTTCCAACTCAGAATCAAAATCTGCTGCAAAAACATTTTGGGACTCTACAAAACCATACAGTAAACCTTTAAGCGAAATATGAAACAATCATGTTTAAAAAAAAAAGCCCTTTGCTTCAGAAAAATTCAAATCGACATATGAAATTTATTTTAATCTCGATATAAACTGAAATGTAGGCAACACCTGCAGAAGATTCCTTTTCAGTGGAAAGTCCTTGGTGGGTATTTCAAGTAAGAAACGCGAGACACTACCAACACACTAACTAACACACCTGTCCCACCTTAGATGCTAATGTGCTACACTAGATACCATGGGCGCCCGCAGAAAACTTTCTGGGGGGGGGGGGGCAAAAAATCGATTAACTTTCCAGGGGGGGTCAAAAAAATGTTAGTAATGTTTTAATATAGTTTTAATTTACTGTAGCGTATTTGTATGGTGAACGAACGGACAGTACATCAGCTTAGTTACTTTCTCTTTATTTTCTCTTTACTTTAATACATTTTTTGTCTATTTTTGTCTAAAAATTTTTATCCAATAAATCCAGGGGGGGGGGCAAGTGCCACCCTTGCCCCTACCTGCAGTTTCTAAACCTAACAACGACGCTTACATTAGCAGAGACCAGCGCTAGACCTAGACATAGTGCTAAACTACTTGGGGTTACACTAGATATTAATGATACTCTAAGACAGGCCTGTACAACTCAAAATGTACGGCGGGTCAAAATACTTAATGAAAAATCGTGTATGTTGTGCGGACCTGCTCTAAGACATCTGATCTAAAGTACACACGAGACCGTAGACTAGATATCAGAGCTAGACTCCGTCAATACAAAAGGACTTGTAGGTACTAGCCTTGCACCGGAGAAAAGAGCTCAGCTAGTCTGATAATCGTAATACTGTCATTACTTCAATCTACAGTGTGGCCCAAAAAATGTGATGACATCGCGTTATTATCGCAACAAAAAAATGTGATGACATCGCTTTATTGTCACAACAAAAAAAATGTGATAACATCGCTTTATTGT